CTGGATTTGTCATAGTTTTAGTGAGTATTTTTCAATAAGTTTTACAGATTTTGTTCCCTTCTCTTTTATATTATTCGAGATTAACTCAATACGTCAACAATGTTGATAGTCGATTCTTGAGTGTTTAAAAAAAAAAGCTAAAAAAAATTAAAAAGAAAATAAACTAACAACTTTATTATTTACGTATTCTTTCTAGTTATTAGTTATTTTCTATAACTAAGAATTTTATTCTTTAAAATATACAAAAGCTCACATGTTACTTTCCAGCATACTCCACAGTTATGCCATATTTTTTGACCGTAGGGAAAGTTTTTTAACATATCTTTTTAACATGGCCTTTCTGAGGATTTGGATATATTAATAAATTATTACTCTAACTTTTCAATCTTTCAACCCTTACAGGAGCAGAATTCCTTATGGACCTGCATTTATGCTATGGTACACTAATATTATAGAACGTTGCTTTAATATAACCGTAAATAATTTATCCTCGTTGACTTGGGTACATACCGAATGTACCTTTGGGAATATCCGTTTAACATTCCGTCCCTGATAAATTCGTACATATATGGATCTGTCTGGTAGGATTATTTCTCTCTTTCTCTGACTCCTGCCGACCTACCCCAATCATCGAGGGGTTGTTGAACAGTCAAATCGGCCGCGGCGGCAGCAGACAGCCGCCCCTCTTTTCTTTTATTTACTACCTTTATAAATTCTCAAAATTAGAAAAGTTTCTTTATTTTCCCAAGAATCGGGGAGACTCTTAAACTTTGGTTGTTTTCCCGAGTTTCAGAAATTTATTATTTAAGTAGGTCTGAGGGATGATTTATTAGATAAAATTATGGAAAAGATGGTCAACAACAGATATGCAATTCGTAATACCTCTATAATTCTATTGTATTTTTGGATGTGTCCCAAGTTTAGGACAATTATTATTATGTAGAACATTAATCAATACAATATACACTGGGTTTAGTATAATATAAACAGTCTAAATTAAACTGATTAGCAATGAAAAATAGCAACTTAAAAGTCGTGTGTTCAACATTACAAGTGATTTTTTTTACAGTTTTTACATCTTGATCAACCTGAAAGCTGAAATAGACTGACAGTGATCTGCCCGGATTGTGCATGTGAATGGGTTGCCCCTTGACTTGACAGTGATTTGACTGTGTTCTCATTTTCCCGGGACTGTTGGTCACGGTTGATTCAAAATATTAAAATCAAGATATAAAACGGAGTGATGGTAACGAATGTTAGCAAACGAATCAGACGTATAACGAATGTTAAGCGGGAAATAAAGGGAAGAAAACTAAACATAAAATGACAATAAGAAAGGAAACGTAGTCTATCTACTATATATACATATATATATATATATATATATATATATATATATATATATATATATATATAGAGAGAGAGAGAGAGAGAGAGAGAGAGAGAGAAAGACAGAGAGTATATATACCACGCTATATAACAAGCGTGGTCAGCATTCGGACGAAATTCCATAGTCTTCAAGTCCAAAATGCCACTTTACCTCAAGAAGAGAGTATTTGATCAATGCATATTACCCATCTTGACATATGGATGTGAAACTTGGATATTAAAGAGAGAAATAACGTCGAAACTCCAAGTAACTCAAAGAGAAATGGAAAGATGTATGCTAGGGATAACAAAGAGGGATCGTAAAAGAATTGAATGGATACAGAGGCAAACCCAGGTGACTGATGTAATCCAATGAATAAAATCCCTGAAATGGCAATGGGCAGGATATATAGCAAGAAGTACAGACAACAGATGGACCACTAGAACAACTATGTGGTACCCCAGAAACGCTAAAAGACCAAAGAGGCGCCCGAATCTCAGATGGGATTATGATATAAGAAAATTAACAGGAAGATAAAAAATATGGGCGTAAATGAGCGCAAATTATAAGAACAACGAATAACTAAGACATCATCGAACAATTCGACGTATCCCATATAACGGTTGCATCTCTCGAGACGATGATGTGTGCTCGAGAATGTTCATGATGAGAGATCGAGGCGTTCATACAAGAGCGAGAATAGAGGTGGACTATTCCAGATTATTCTAGTACATAACAACTTGTATATATAAACTGCGCCGATATTAGTTTAGTTGATTGATAAGATATTATCGTACTGTAAACTTATAAATAAATATATTTACACATATTAGAACCTCTCGTTTTCTCGGTAAAGCGCTACAGTGGTGTTACGGTGTGAGGTAATTTATTTATTTAAAATAAGACTGTTGAACTGTTTGTCGGGAAAATCCAAGCAGTTCGTTAGTGATTTTCATAAAAATGAACATTTGTAAAGTACGTGTGTGCCTGACCAAAGATGCTGCTAGTAGAACTTTCAGTAGAACGCGATGAATACTGCAGCGGGTCCAAGAAGATCCTTCAAGAACGACTGAAGAATATTCTCAACAAGAATGTAGATGGCCCAGAAATATTCCAGTTTCAGCCAACAGAAGAAGCAGTTTTAACGAAAATAAAAAATATTTCTCAAATGATTAACGAAACTTCTGGAAAAAATGATGAGAAATTAGAAATTTTTTCTCAAATGATTGAAGAAACTTCTAGAAAGAATGATAAGAAATTTGAAAATGTTAGTCTAATGATTGGAGAAACGTCTAGAAAAAAATAAGGAAAAATTCGAGAATGTTTAAAAAAGATTCGATAAAACGTGCCAAATTATTCAAGAAGCAGCTAAACAAGAGGACGAGAAATTCCAAAATGTTTCTAGAAGATTCGAAGGACGTACATATGTAGTCAGAACAATGAGAAATTTGAAGAAGTTTCAAGAACAGTCAATAAGGTAGAAGCGAAGATCAAACAGTTAGAGACCAGGATAACGACTACGAAAGTGCTACCACCAGTTAATGCAGTAGTGATCCTGTCGTAAAAGAAAAATCACCGAGAGACGAAACGACACATCATATGAGATTCAAATTGCCACCATTTGATGGGAAGTCTTCTTAGTCCATATACCTTAGAAAATTTGAAGCTATTGCAGCAGCTAATCATTGAACAGAACAAGAAAATGATGTTTCCTTGACTGCTGCTTTACGAGGTGATACTGCAGATTTTCTAAGATCGATTACTAAGAGTTAAGAAAAATGTTATCAGACCTTGTTCACTCGGCTAGACAAACTTTACAAAGATGTTCGTCAACAACAAGTCTACAAAGTACAAATAAGAAGTAGAGTTCAACGAGCAAGTGAGAGTGCAACAATTTGAAGCAGTTGTTGCTCCTATAGCACTATTGGCTTATTCGGAGGCACCAGACACCATATTGAAAGAAATTGCTGTAGATACCTCAACAGGTTGAGAGACAGTGAACTACAGAAAGCTTTACGACTAGCCGGACCGAAAGCTTTAGATGACGCGCTCACCATTGCCTTGGAACACGAACCAGCTAGTCAAGCTTCACGGAGCTATCGAGTACGAACCTCTGAAGAGAGAGACGAACAAAACGATAAACGAAAAGATGATCTTCTGTATAAAACATTTGAAGACGATGATGGTACATAATCTAAGCCTCAGTTGATTGTACCTAAAAGTACAGTGTCAGAAGTATTGCGTCAGTTGCATGACGGTGCATCAGGTGGACACTTTGGTATTACGAACACTCTGCAAAAGGTTCGAAAACGGCTCTATTGGGTGAACTGTAAAGATGATGTAAGAAGATTGTAAGTGCTGGAAATGTGTACTGTATGCAACCAGTAATGGTCCAGTATATATATCGTTATCGATATGAAGTTTTCTCCTGGCATCTTGTTGCTGTCATTATAACAGCCTATAGATAAACAGTATTTCATATCAATTCCACTTACAACAATATTTGAATTTTTTTCCCTTTGTTGTCTTTATATCTTATTTGTTTTTTTTTTCTATTCAAACATTTAAAACAGTGGCTCCCTTTCTTTTTTTGAAGAGTGATTCTCTTCCTCAATTTCCTTTTTTTTTGTTTAGTATTTTTATTTTCTTACGTTTCTCACCTCTAAAAACAACTCAGGCCACAATCTACCCGGACTGAATAACAGTGACTTCGTGCCTATTGTGTAGCGGTGTTCTAAGATTCTTCAGAGAATTCAAGAATTCTTCACAATCTAGATCCCTAAACTTCTGCGAGGTATAGGAGAGGAAGACCAAGAGAGACCTGGTAGGAGATACGTAAATAAAACGCATCAATCCACATTACTATTCTTTGTGACTTCGTGCCTATTGTGTAGCGGTGTTCTAAGATTAATTCTTCACAATCTAGATCCCTAAACTTCTGCGAGGTATAGGAGAGGAAGACCAAGAGAGACCTGGTAGGACATAGGTAAATAAAACGCATCAATCCACATTACTCTTCTTTGGAAAACAAATGCTAAAAGTGACAGAAATGAATTTTTAGCAAAGATCCGTAGAAAAGTCCACGAGAGAATGGATAACGTAGACAATCATACACGATATTAGGACAAAACAACTGATATAATACGGTCATGTGCAGATGATAACAGGCGGTAAATTACAAAAACAACTTATAAATAAGGTAAAGCCGGTACACAGAAAACGTGGAAGACTATAGAACTACGATAAAAAAATATCTGTAACCGCATTAAATTGTAGTGAAAAGGTTAATTTTATTATTATTATTATTTGCTCTCGAATTTTATTGTATATACTTTCCCCTGACGGGTTTTATTATTGTTTGTTTGCGTATTAAGAGTGTTTTAATACACAAAGAGTTCGTCATGGCGGATATATACAACTATAGCCATTGTATTGTTAAGACTGTAGGATAAATAGTACTCAAAGTGGTCTAAAAAAAATAAAGTTCAAAAATATAGAAAAATTGTTTTACGTAAATTACAATAAAAAATATTTTAAAGATGACTTAAAAATAGTATTTTCAAAATACTTTGAAAATAATAAACTCATCACGTATTAATTACTCTAAAAAATAAATATAGTGGGTACTTACTAAAATCAATAAGAAGCCTTCCATAGCCTTGTCTCTGGTAAGGCGGTAAAGTAAGGATGCAAGACACGTTGTAATTTAGAAATGAATTTTTTTCCTGCAACAAAAAAGAATTTGTATAAATAATAAGTTTTAAATATTCCACGTTCTAAAAACTACGTAATGTTTCCTTCATATTTTTCTGATTCATTTTGTATCTGCTGTTTCTACCATAAATAGTATGGTGTGTTCAATCACAAATTAGTCCATTAACTTATAATCTCACAATAATCTTAATTTCCTGAATTTTTATAGTTTCACCGTGTATAATTGTGAAACATATCGATTAGTAGCTTAATTACAGTTTGTTACAATAAAACTATATTTTACTCCACGACTTCAACAATTTATTTTATCATCGTCGATCGAGAAAAATCGGACACAAGGCATTAAAAACAATTCAAAATTATAATTACGTTAGAATTGTCCATTGTGTAAATACACCGTTTTAGTGGATTAAACCATCAATTTTATGTATAAAAAAAAAGAATTTCTGAATTCTTTGTATTTAAAAATACAAATGAATACCTCATGTATTATAATAAATCTTTGATTGATCGATTGAACTGTAGCAGACCAATATTGGCATTAAACAATGGCAGCTGGTTTCTGGTTCACTCAAAACTGATCACAAACGAGACATGTTTACAGGAACCTAATCAGTCTTTTACACCGCATGTTATTATATTTTCCAAATAGCTCATTATGGCGAGTTCGTGATAGCTGAAGCTGAGCTGCAGGCTATCAGCGGGATCACAGAGTCTTCATATATCAAGGTTAGCTGCGAGTATATTAAATAAACAGTCCACAACTAAGCAGCGGCGATTCTGGAGAGTGTAGTGGACATGTGTTAAGGTTGGGGGTATTTGATCTAAGGGCTTGCTGCCCAGCAAAAGGACCATTGATAACAGCAGCGCATCGACAACGCCGACTTGAGTTTGCTAGAGACCACAAGCATTGGACGATAGAAGATTAGAAAAATGTTTTGTTTAGTGAGGAGTCCAGGATGGTTCTTTATGGATCAGACGATCACATCAAAACGTACAGTAGACGTGAGGAACGATATGCTGCTTACGCGCTAATCACACGTCAATAAAAATTGCTATAACTTTTTGACAATTCAATTTGGAAATCTGGCACTTTTCAGAAAACTTCTTTAAATATTAAATTTTAATGTACAATTGGTTCAGACAGATTTAAAAATTTGTAACGCTACAAAAATATTAGACGAGTAGTATACGATTTTTCAAAAAGTCAAATAAGTCACAAAGCCATTTATTTATAATCAAAATTAACAGTTCGGATACATCTTATTTTTTGCGTCAAACCATATATATTCGTTATATACCATAGTATATTGTGTCAAAAATAGAAATCGAAGTATCTAAATTAAACCGAGCTGAGACATCGTGAGTTAAATAAACAATTTTATTAAAACTATGAAATCAAAATTTTTGCATTTTTCATGTTTATTTACATGTTCCCCCACCCCAACCCAAAGATTTTATTATTAAGAAAAGTTGTACAGATTTTTATTGCCGAACATTTTGATACCAAATTTGCTCGGTAGCCAACAAGTTATAGTTTTCCTAGTAATTTTTTTGGGGGTTCGTCGCTCGCCTAAAGCACGATAAAGAATGTATTATGTAAAGACTCACTAGATCTGATATTGCCAATTAGTTTTCCTTTGTCTTCCTTTTTTATCGTTTTAATATGACTATTCTTAAAAAGAACATAAAAACGTTTTGACTGGTCTAATAACTACGCACTAGCCTCAACGGTGCCTTGGCATTGTTCCGATGAAAAGTTATCGATCAGACGATCCAGAATTTAAAATATGTTAGAAAAATATAAAAAGCCGTTAATAATTTTTAGATTAGATCAAGCATGACAAATATTTATAGTTGAAAGATTTAGTGTTTTAGTTTCCATTATTTGATTAGAAATGGAAGCACTTAAATAAATGGAGCTTTTTAAACATTACTATTTATATAACCATTAGGGTTTAAGTATGTTAACATGATTATTATTAGGCTGTACACTATTCCACCAAAAGAAAAGAGTGCTAAGTAAGTTTAGACCCAGATAAAATAAGGTAAAAATCACATATTTATAATCAAAATTAAGTTATGTAAATTGTTTTTTACAATACTCTTAATGAAGACCAATGTAACTTTTCATGCGCACTTTTTTCATTAGGAATTGAGTCACTCCAAAAACATCCGTATAGAATACAATATTTGCTTCTGCATACTTCATGATACGTCTTCAAGAATACATGATTTGGTTCTATTCAAGGATAAAAGTAATCACTGTGGCCTCTAACGTGAGATCCTAATCCTAGTAGCTTCCTACAAAGCGGATGAAAAGAATACCGCTAGGATGCTGGTCCCTACCAGTTGTAAGAGGCGGCCAATAGGATTTCCGGCTGTCTAGCAGTGGCTGTGTCCAAGTAGCTCTTCGGAGAGAAAAGATGAACCGAATACTGCTAGGGTACTGGTCCCTACCGATCGAGCAATAGGATGGATCGGGAGTTGGTGAGGCAGCAACAAGCACAGGGCGCGATCTAGTTCTTACGTCCCGTACGTAGAAATAGTAACGTGACCGTCGTTTCAGGTGCCGGTAGTCGGTATGGGGACTACTAGAATTGCAACGAGTCATAAGTCGCACTGATCAACGGGTTGCGTTCTTAGTATCCTAGACGAGCTCATGTGGGACCACTCTGCTTTCGTTCCACGTAACCTCTGTAGAAGGTTTTGCAGGTCTTATACGATCAGTCCCAATCTGAATGTGCACCTGCGAAACGTGCATGTAATTGGATATGAGTGGTAGATGAGTAGGCTCCTCGGCGGCAATCTGTCAACAGTGCTTGGTGGTCTGTTATCCCACCAGCATGCATCTGTTCGCCTTCACAGGGACCACGGGCAGCGGCAGGTACAGCAACACAGGTACTGCGGGAAGGGTGGAGCCCCACAATATGGTTATAGTGCCACCCTCACTGGAGGCGAACTCGCAGAGGCATTGGTTCTGCCAGAATAGGATAGACTTTCTCTGGATAGTTAGCAATACCCTTTATGCACCTATTCTATCCAAACGGTAGTGTATTGGATTGTCAACGACTGTGGTCCCCGGCCGTTACCACCCGGGGAGGAAATCTTTGTTATCCATTTGTGTTGACACAGATTCCTTGATGGGCGTGGGGTCCAGGATTTATTGGATTCCCTGGGCTTCGAATCCCGCCCGCTGCGCCTAAGCCAGAAGATCACGTAGTGTTTAAGAGCATAGTGCTCCGGGAAATGCAATCCAAGTAAACAAAATGACGGTATTATATTTTGATTTGATACAGAGCAGCAATAAGCCGCATATACGTATTTCGATCTCTTTAGATCTCCTCAGTACGGTATAGTTACTACTCCATCTCTCGATGGATCTCTCCCATCTCTACTCTCCATCTCCATCTCTCCATCTCTACTCCATTGATTTCGCCAGGTAGAAATCGTATGATTTCTCTTTTTGCAATCCAAGTAGATATGCCGATTTCCACCAAGATTTTGCTAGCAAGCTGAAAGTACTGAAGTCTCTCATAAAATAGGACAGTAGAACTTTGTGAACTGGGGGCTGCCACCAGACCCTCCTGATGCGGCTGTAACGATGACTCTATTAATTATTAGCCGCTAAATTATTTGTGAAAACCCACATACCGGCTAACCTACGCTAGAAATATATATTTTCTTTTTCTAATTATATTTCTTATCATATTTTACAACGATACCAGACATGATAGACCTTTTGTAATGAGAGATGTATCATTCAATCATTTTAGAATAATATTACGACTCAATGATTTGTTTGTCTAGAATTTCGTCAGGAAATCAGTTGGGTTATTTTATTTGAATTTTCGCTAACTGTATGGTGATCTCATCAAGTGTTAGACAAGAAAGTTGTGATGTTCTGGCTCTATACCTAGCATAGAAGTCACATGCAATTGTGATGTATCAAGGATATCAGTCTTAGAGGGACCTCCTAACAATTTTAGTCTAGAATTTTCCAAGTATATCAATATTAGACCTTGATGCAATTGCCCACAGTTTGGTCCCGTAAGTCCAGATAGGTTTTAAGATAGTTTTGTATATCAATCATTGTTTCCAATCCAACTTGATTATTGACATGCATCCGTTTCTTACCTTTAAACTATCTTTCGTTTGGTTTTTTTGGCATATTTTCACCATCATCTGCAGAAATCTTTGTGTTCTTTCATAGCCAATGACGAAACCTAGGTTCATTATTAAACTCTGGAAACTAATAAACCGTCTGAACACATAAGGATTCTCAGCAACTAACACACACAAGAATGTTGTTATCAGGAGGTAATTTTATAGAAAAAGTAAACAACAAAATCAAAAATAAAAATAAACGGCATTATTTGGTAAATGAAACAGTGTTTTTCTAAACTAGATTTGGCTCCCAGCAAACCGGAAGCAGTCCGTTCCACGCCGGTCTTCTTCTCCTTGTAGTTCCTTCTCCTATCGGAGGTTGGCTATCGTCACAGCTATCCTTACCTTATTGGCAGCTGCTCTAAAAAGATCTACTGAGCTTCAACTATACCACTCTCTTAGGTTTCTCAGCCAGGAAATTCTTCGTCTTCCTATGGATCTTTTACCCCACGCCGGTCATATTGCAGCTAATTGGCTTATTATCGAACCATTTCATTTTTTCTCGCGTCCATTTGTTTCCTTTAAGTTGGGACGAAATGCTGCCAGGCTATGATCAACCAAAAACATTTGTGGTCTGGCTGTCGTGATTTGTAATTGAGCATGGTGTAGTTATGCATGTTTTTATGTTTATTGTAATGAAAATAAGCTCCTGTGATTCGAATTATAAACAGTATTTACTTACTACTTATACATTTGTCGTACATTCTAAAAAATACAGCTTTAAACTGACTTGACATAACAAATACTGGTCTTGATATATTATCTACTAAATAATATTCGAGATAGTTAAGTTAACAATCGAAAAATCCAGAAATAGGTTATTCCTTCAAATCCTGTACAGACT